TGACCATAAATAAAAGTCAAGGTCAAACTTTTGATAAAGTTGGTATTTATCTCAAAAACCCTTGCTTTTCATATGGTCAACTCTATGTTGCATGTTCAAGAACAAGATCATTTTATACCTTATTTTTAAAATTGATGAATATTCATTACAAGGTATGTTATTTAATAAATGCTACACGAACAATGTTGTATTTACGAATATACTACATCTTTAAGTATTTAATTTTTTACTATTAAACACCTCATTCTTAAAAATAATTCAACTGTAATTTATAGTTTTGGCAAGTATTTATGTGTGTTATTTGATTCGTAATGTGTGATATCTATTATGTGTTTATATATGTGTAAAAGTTATATTTTTTATATATTTTATATGTATTTATGTGTAACTAATGTGTAAATGCCTGTTTTGTATGAATTGTATTTTGTGTTATAATGTTATCTGTGTATATATATGTGACTTGGCATTGGATATGGCAATAGTGTTGTCCTTGCTAGCCTAGCGGTGTACTGACGTGAAACAAATAATAAAATCTGTTTGAAATCACAAAATATGTACTAACAAGTATGTTACGCTGTTAGTAAATAAAGTATTTACAATAAAATCTGGATAACTCAATAACCCTTAAATAAATCAAAGTAAAACTCCAGTTGAGCCTTCGTTTATAAAACTCCAGTTGAGCCTTCGTTTATGAGTTATATTAGCAATAACTCAAACATTTTCTAATAAGCTAACATTTGGTCCCTCGGTGGTTTCAGTAATTGAGTCTTTACTGTAACATTTTGTGCTATTTGTTATTGATGTTATTGTTATTGATGTTATTGTTGTGATGTTTTGTGTTGATTGACGACTTGGCTAAAAATGATTATTGGGTTGTTTCATACTGAAACTGACTATATATAATCATTCAGTAAAAGCCAAGAAGTCAATTTTTATATTAAACCGTAAGGGTTTATCTTTTTTTGATTATTTTAGTGTGCTTTTTATGAAAGAGTTTATAAACGATACTCGCAACCATAGGTCTTGAAACTTTTACAAGAATACACATAAAAAAATATCTCTCATAGTAAGTTTTTTATTTTTCTATCACCTTGATCACATTTGTGAGTTTTCAAATAAAAAAGGATAATAATGTGTAATAAGTGTTTTCAACAATTTTGTTTAATTTTAAGTCAAATTCCTTTTTTTAATGTTGATCGATTTTTAACAGCCAAAGGGTAGTTTTGTTAACCTTTATACCATTTGCTAAAAGATATATAATAAAGAAACAATTCAAACTGATTGTATAAAGTACTTCTCATACTTTTTACATTAAATATAATGTATATTTGTATTTTTTTTATAATAAAAAAAATTTGTAATTTTTATTTGAAGAAAAATGTTTTTTGTTTCTCACACAAATTTGTACATTTTTTCTCTTTGTTATTATAGTGCTTTATGGATACATTGCTCATTTTACTTTTTTTTATTTTTTATATTTGCGTTATATTGTTATATATAAATGAAAACCGTTTATACTATTATTAACATGGTACTTACGGAGCTAAATAGTTTCATTCCTATTAGGTATTTTACCGAGTGTCGGTTCAAATGATAGCTATAGTAGTTTAATGATTTGCTAAAACCGGTGTGAAAAACAACTTGAAAAATTTGGTGAGAGTTTATTGCAGAAAGTTTGCTTTAAGAATTGTTGAACAAATAGTGCTAAATTTTGACATAATTAGGATTCGTGACCTAATTCTTTGTCCAATTCTTCTCCTTTTCAAATAGAAAAGATTAAATTTTATAAAAATGTTTCTAAAAACACCGGGAGAAGTTGCGCCTAATTGTCAATTGTGTTTATGTATAAAAATTCTTTTGTTATATGCCTACCTAATAATTTTTTAAACCTGCTCAATCTGTTCATGATACAATTTCTTTAAAGTGGTTTAAAATCTTAAATTTAAAGTTTTTCCTTCAAATCATAAACATATAGATGACGGTTCTAATAAAGCTAAAGTGGAAAAATTGTTTTTTTTATAATCCAAGGTATTTATAAATATATTTCTGCCATACACTTAAAAATATTGAAGTAAATAAGTAAAGAAATGGTCGGTGTGAAATAAAGTTAACGAGATTCGTTTTTTACGGGTGTGGACATTTATTACTTAATCTAAAATCAATTATTGTTTAATTCGATTAACACCACAGTAATAAACATAGCTTAGTCAATTTATTTGGTTGCGAAAAAAATGTTTCACTGGAAACCAAGTTTTTGTTATTGGAAACCCGATTGTTTTGTAGCATTTTAGTTAGAGTTATAGGAAAATCTATAACTATTATTTTATTGAGTAAAAAAAAATCTTATGGTCTTCGGTTTTTAGTCATCAATAACAACTGGAATAGTAGAAAGTGTTATGTATTGTAGAGAAACTGTTTTGGCGTGGTGTTTAGGAGTGCTGCGGGTGTAAGAAACTTTGTTTTCATCAAAAAATATAAATTAGTCAATTAAAACATGAAAACTTTCCAGTATTTATATGTGATGTTTTTTTTTATTTCATTTTTTTGTAATTTAAATTTGGATAAGCAGCAAAAATGACTTGAAAAGTAATATCACACAATGAATCGCTTATAATTAACACACAGGATTCGAACTTCCTGAAATACATGAAAATGAGGGTATTGTTTTCCCTACTTATTCTCTTTGTAATGTTTAATATCATTTTTACCTAGGTTTGCCAAATGACCAGCTTTTAAAGAGTAGAATAGAGTCCTAATTATATATAAATCAATTTTTTTAATGTAATTCATAAAAGCCGGACGTCTTGCAACCATATATTTACTCAAATTTCCTGTTCTTACTTTTTGCTTGCATAAATCACATAATTCGCATAAATCCTCCAAATCCAAATCTGAACAGCTTATTTTAAAATTTAAAGAATTATAAGGGATTAAAGAATACATTTTGCAAGCCAACTAAATGCTTAAACAATTTAAACGACAGCCACGCGCTGATATTAACTCTCTTATAGTCTTAAATACTGAGCGAGTGTTACTGTTTGTATATCTATAACCTTTTTATAAAGTTTTTATGTTTTTAAATTAGGCTTTAGAATATGTCTAAAAATTAAAAATAAATATTTACTTTCTATTTTAGGAATAAACTCACAAGAAAATTTTAACGATACGTATATATTGGATATGTTTAACTATTCTTTATTTAGTACATATGTACAATTATAAATAGGTTATATTATAACTATAAACAGTTTACACATTTATAGACAGTGCTGGGTTTACTGATAAATAAGCAACATAGTAATAAAAAAGCAATATAATAAAGACAAAATAAGCAATGCTATCATTTTATTTATTGCAAATAAAATACAAATAAGTAATTCTCTATTTAGGCAATGAAGGAGATTTCTTTAGAAGTAAGTAAACAATAATTTCTTATGTACAATTTATATTTTTATATTAAAGCCATAATTTTTAAAAATTAATTAAAGTATTTAGAAATAAGTATATATATAAAGTACTATACAAATATTTAATAAAATTTATCAAATATTTGTATAGTAATAGTGATTTGATTGTTGTAAAGGTTTATATACACGCAGCTATTAAATATTAAAATTAGATCAGGTTTTTTTTGTTTTATGTTAATAAGTGCAATTTCATTATTATATGTATATATCAAATCTTGAAATAAGAAAAAATGCTTATGTCTTTTTAAACAAGAAACTTTGAATTCATTTTCTAGACTAGATGTAGTGTTTTATCATATATATGATAAATGTATATTGTATTGTGCGTATTTCTTAGATGCGCAGGAGATGGGTTAGAAGAGGTGGATTCAGTACCTCTTCTGCCTGGAAATTTTCTCGATAGTCAAAGTTAGCATTTTTATTTGAAGTTTATGTTATTGCAATTAAATTTATGAACTAATTTTTCATACATTTTGTTTATTTAGAAAACTTAGAAAGTAGAGTTAGTAAACAAAATTTCATTATATTTTTTTTGTGTATATTAAATAAAAAATAGTAATCAGCTTGGCTTTAATCAGCATTTTAATGTTTTTATTTTGTACCAACAATTACCTTTTTTTTTATTTTTTTTTTAATGTAAAGAAAACTTAAATTTATTTAATATTTAGCAAAACTAAATGTATTTTGTAAATTTTTGGTTTATTTTCTTCATCTATTTAGAAAAATTAGAAGATTTGCAAAAATAGATAGGTGAGTTAAATTGTTTTTCTGTTTATTACACACCTTAACTATTTATGTACATCTAAAATTAAATGCATCGTTTTCAAATTGTTATTATTTTGGACTTTATACTTTTTAGCCTACTTTTTTAGATATCATTTTAGACTACAATAGTATGTAGCTATATTATGTTTTATATCTGATAAAAGTTATATTAAATAATTTATACTTGATTGTTTTTGTTGCCTTTTTAATTTTCTTTTATTTATATTTAGCCGTTTCTTCTTCTGTTACAAGTAAGTTGACGTACTCACTTAAATTATTTGATTGATTACATTATTTAATTCGTTTTATTGTATTTTTAATTTTCTTTTATTTTTATCTAGCTGGTGCTTCTTCTGGTACAAGTAAGTTGTTTTATTCACTTATACTTGACTTCTTACATTAGTTATTTGGTTTTATTATATTTTCTATTTTATTTATCTCTAGCTGCTGATTCTTCTGTTTATAGTATGTTGTTGTATTCATTTATACTTGACTAATTATGTCAATTAATAACTTTTAATGCATCTAAAATTTCATTTTAATTATCTCTAGCTTCTGCTTCTTCTTCTGTTACAAGTAAGTTGTTGTCTCACTTGAATTATTTTGGCTTATTACATTGATTGACTGTTTTTATTGCATTTTTAATTTTCTTTTATTTATATTTAGCTGTTTCTTCTTCTGTTACAAGTAAGTTAATGTGCTCACATGAATTATTTTGACTGATTACATTATTTGATTAGTTTTATTGCCTTTTTAATTTTCTTTTATTTATATCTAGCTGCTGCTTCCTCTGGTACAAGTAAGTTTTTCTATTCACTTATACTTGACTGATTACATTATTTGATTAGTTTTATTGCAATTTTAATTTTCTTTCAGTTATATCTAGCTGCTGCTTCCTCTGGTACAAGTAAGTTGTTCTATTTACTTATACTTGACTGATTACATTATTTGACTAGTTTTATTGCAATTTTAATTTTCTTTTATTTATATTTAGTTGCTGCTTCCTCTGGTACAAGTAAGTTGTTCTATTTACTTATACTTGACTTATTACATTGACTGGTTAATTTTATTTTATTTTTAACTTTTCTATTTCATTTTAGTTGGTGATAAATCAAATTCAAAAATAAGTTTTTGTACATGTCATTAAGCTATTTCACTTTATTGTACCTTTCGTTTTTTAATATAGCTAGAGATGTGTTTTCCAATTTAATTAGTTAATGTAATAAATCAAGTTCAAGTAAGTATAATAAATAAGTTGTTGTGCTCACTTGTACTTTAATAAATTTATTACTTTTGTTTTTTTATAGTAGATTTTTTGTATGTATCACCTTGGTAGATTTTTATTTCCGACTCGAAATCAAGGAAAAATATCAAAGAATATTGCTCCCAGCATCCCGGCCCTCTATTCCAGAGGGCATTTTATTGCTGGTGCAGGTATGAGGAAGACCATCCTTCCATTAGATGGAGGGATGGCGTCCCATACAGCACCAAGGAAATAGGGGATGCTGGGAGGAGAGGGCGTGGCGCAACAGTTGTAAATTATTTCTTCACATTTTAGATTTACAATTCTTAGGCCACAGTTTTTTTTTTTGTAATTTATTTTTTAAATATAATTTTGTGTTGTTTTTTAATTTTTTCCATTAATTTTAATGCCATCAAGTTAATTAAATGATTTAAATAAAGACACTTTTTTTAAAATGTTTTTTAAAGGTTTATGTATGTTTTTATAAGTGTGTGCAGTTAGTAGTTTAAATATGTTTAATAAACTCAGGATAACTCAACCCTCAACAATATAAATTAATTTTAAAATTCCACTTAAATTTTTTTTAATATATTACTATCCCAATAACTTTAGTTTTTTTTAAACTACACTAATTATTTTTTCCTTTAAAGGTGTGGGTTATCTAGAGTTTACTTTAACATGTTCTGTTATTTAATTAACTGTTGTGATGTTTTATGCTAATCGGCTTAGCGCATTTTTGAGTTTTCAAAAAAGTTAATTGATTGCATGACACGTTAATTTGTAATTAATGTGTTTATGTTCCATTTTTAGCTTGAGTTTCTTTTCATATAGCTGACTTGATTATGGCTTATCTAAAGACTAATAATGATGAAACAATGTTTCAATTTAAATTGCTTTTTATGTGTTTTTGTTACTTTTTGTTAAATATAGTATTTTTTTTATAACTTTTTTTAAAGTTTATATTTTTATTTTATCTCAAGAAAAATATGTTTTTTGTTTCTTAAGTAAATATCTATATTTTTTTGTTATTGGATTAATTGTTTCAAATGAATTGATCATTTTTGTATTTTTTTAAATATTTTTGTTGCTTTTTATATATATGAATAGAAACCATTTATACTTAAAGTTGTTTTTTGTACTCAAAGTTTCCATTTGCATTAATTATAGATTAGCACAAACAACATGTTTAAAAACTTCGGATGAAAAAACAGCTTAATTGAATGAGTTTGTTTACAGTTTTGCTTTTTACAGCAACGTTTTTATAAAAAGTATCAAACAGATAAAGCTAACTTATTCAAAGTAACAAGTCTTTTAGGCCCGTTTTCTAATGTCCAAATTTTTTTTTTAAATAAATCTTGTTGAGAGGATAAAATCTTGATTATAGCTTAAGTTTTCAAATACACCTGAAGAATTGTTACGCAACTGTCTCTAATATGTTAATGAACCTTTTCTTTGTATATCTTGAGGTTTTTATTGTTTTTTATTAACTTGTGTCATGTATTTTGTATTTCGGCTTTTATCAATTAAATAAAAAAAAAATTATTTCAAACAATTTTTAACGGTATTATAAAAAGTTATGTAACTGCTTGTAAAGTAAATATAATATGTAAACTACGAGGCTAAGTAATAAAAGTACTTCTTATATATATACATGGCCAGAACAAAAAGTCTTCTTTTTGTTCCGGCCATGTATATAGTTTTGTATACATGTTGGTATTGTAGCAATATTTAAATAAAAAATATATTTTTCTATATTAAAAAAAAAAAAAAATCAACTTTACATATTTATTAAAGATAAAATTTTAAAGTGAGTTTTTTTTGACTACATCTTTATATAATAAAAGCAACATAATCTCTCTTTTCCGGAAAAAAGACTAAAAACTTTTTTAGTCTTCTCTTCTTTTCTTTTCTTCTTTATTTATTCTACCTTTTTTAAATCAAAGAGCGAGCTTTCGGCAAATTTGAACAATATTTAAAAAAAATTAATATAGTCTAATTTTAAGTTATTCCTGATCACTGTGTATTGCTCAAATAAGCTTATTGTTGTACTTCATACAACTTTATGATAAAAAAAATAATATAATAACCTTAACAGAAAGCACTGCGTGTCTTATTTTCTAGCATCATTTTTTTACATTTCTTACATAAATAATCTTAACTCACCTATTCTAATTTTTTTTTATTTCAGCAACAAGTGTTTTTAACTCGTTTAGTCTCAATGTCTTTAAATGGGTTCAAACACTTTTCAACACTTTAAGATTCCTTTTTTGCATTTCTTAGTTTAATAATTTTATTTCACCCTAAGCCTCTCTGTTATTTTGCAACGATTATTTTAACTTGGCATATAATATCTCTAGCTTGTAATCTCATTTAGCCTACAATAGTTTTTTTCAATTTAAATGTTTTTATTAACATATATGAATTTATATAAAACCTATATATAGTATTCATAATATAGATTTAAGAATTTTAATCTTTTTTAAGGATTTCCTCTGTACTGATCTGAAGTGCATAAAAGAATAAAGAAGCTCATAGTCAATTGATAAAACCAATTTTATTTACAAAACTATTAAAAGTTATCAATACAAGTATACCCATATGTATTAGGCTCTAAGGGAGTTTTATTGTTATTTTAATTTCTTGATGTAAATTTTGAACTTCATGATGTAGCTTTAAGCTTCATGATGCAAATTTTTGAACTTCCTGATGTAGATTGAACTTTATTTTTATGTCAAAAAAGGATGTTTTGGAAAAAAAAACGCATTGATTGGGACTTTGCAATCAAGTAAATTCTAAATACTTTGCTCCTCCGCTACCCTTAAAGTGAGAGCAACCAGTATTTAAAGTACCTTTTGCTACTTTTTTAAACATTTTATATTCATCGACAAATTCTAAATTTCACGCAATAAGCTAATAGCGTTCAAATTTATGATCTTGTAAAGTTTAAAGCTCCTTAAATCAACGGCATACCAAAAAATATATAGAATCATGATAACTATTTAACACGCAAATATTTTTGAGTAAAATTTTTAATTTGTCAATAAAATAAATTTAGTTTATAATGGTAAAAAAGTTGTAAAATGGTAATTCAAACTGTGAGGTCATCATGGTAAAGCATTTAGAGTATAAGTTGTTCCCAATTCTAATATTCCATTTTCTAAAATAAGAAACTTATTTAACATATTTATAGACATTTAAAAGTAAAGAGCTCGTGTGTTGTCAAGAAGTTCTCAAACAAACAAAATAAAAAGCCTCCTACGAGTCTATTATTTTTAAATATTGAAAAACACTTATAAAAAAGTTTAAACAGATAAATACCAAAGTTTTATTATCAATCGCAAGTTCAAATTCCATAATTTTGTTTTTGATTTTTGGCTTGCGAATTTTTGCCCAATATATAAAAATCAAACAATAACAAACAAAGCAAATGCAACTTGTTTTGCTTTTTTTTTTGTGGATAAAACAGTTTAAAAGGTAGGCTTGAACAATAATAATAACAGTTATATTATATATATATATATATATATATATATATATATATATATATATATATATATATATATATATATATATATATATATATATATATATATATATATATATATATGTATATATATATATATATATATATATATATATATATATATATATATATATATATATATATATATATATATATATATATATATATATATATATATATGTATATATATATATATACATATATAGATATTTTAATGATTTTTGTTGTGGAACAAATAATAGTGTTATGAAAATATGTTAAAGTAGAATACAAATATCTGAATATTGTAAAATTATTTAATTACTTTATGTTTTTTAAGTTCTTTGCTGTTTTTAAAATCGAGGACTTAAAACTTTACTTTTTGGATCTTAGATTACCTTTATAATAAAAATAATTTTTTTATCTCGCTTCTACCATTTTAAGAAAAGAATCGAAAATTCATCAACAAGCATAAAAAAAATATTACTTTTTTCTAACGATTGGTTTTGAGTTTCACTAGGTATTGTAGAATTTAAAATACTATCAGTTATCAACTTACCTAAACTAGACAATATGACTTGTTAATTATTTATAGGAAGATTACATCATTTTTTGACCTTTAATAGCATTGTAGCACGCAATGATATGTACAAATTAGTGAAGTATTTAAAGGCTTGCTTAACCAAATTTTGCACATAATGCAAGTTTTGTTAACAAAATACGGTGCCGTTTGGATATACTTAAAAACTGTTAAAGTATTTAAATTAGAACCAATTTATCTACACTTTGTACAAGTATATGTTTTTGTAATTTTTAATTTATTAATGTATAATTTAGTTATTAAACGCTAAAGCTCAATAATTAAGTAAGACATTATCTTTGAAGCTTTATAAAACTCTTTTAAATTATAATGATAGTTTTGATAACTTAAAGTGAATAAACATAAAGAATGTGTAACATGGTAAACTTATTGATTATTTTCATAATTAGTAAATTGTTAAAAATTTTCAAATTTTAAACTTAATTTTTTCTTTACTCCAAACTCAATGTATATAAATTTGAAAAAAGCGTAATATACAACTTTTATACTAAAGTTTATAATGTTTATACTGTAAATCATGCAAGAGTACAATCGATAAAAAACATATAGTCAGTTTAATATAAAAAAAAAGAATAATATTTAAGTAAGGCTAACAACTATTTCAAAAGTAACTTTTCCTTTTGCTTGATAACTGAGAAACAAAATTAAAATTAAACTGGTAAAACTAAATTACTTTTTATTACATTTGTTTTTGATGGATTGCTTTTTTTAATGTATTTTTTTTAAGACTAAATTCTAATTTAAAAGAAGCATTTAAAATCAGACTAATTAAAATTAATAAGCCAAAATATTTATTTCAATCAATTTTAAATTGTGCTATATTAGTTTTCATTTCTCCATTTAAAATCATGGAAAACTTTTTTTGCATCAGCAAAATAGTTTATGTAAGATTGAACTTAAAACATTCATTGATTCCGCTTTTAATGTTGGTGGAAACAAAGGATTATGACTAATAACAGTTATATAACATTTATTAGTTTAAGGTATTTAATAGAAGTTTTTTCTAAATTACTTACTTTACAAATTAAAGTTGGCATAGTTATAACAGATCCTACTGATGCCAATCTGTGTGACCCAAGAATGCCACTTAGATGGAAAGATAGCGTACACATCAAGGTATCCTGTGAAGCAAATTTTGAAATTTTTTAATTTTTTACATTTAAAAATATTTTTAAAAAGATTTGGCATGTTTGAAACAAATGTTGTTGAAAAAATTTTTGTAAAATCTTGATTAAAATAGTTACAAAGGCGCAAAAAAAAAAAAAAAAATCTGTCAAAAGAGGAAGTTTTTATGAAAGAGAGATTAGTTCTTCAAAGAGCAGTAAAAATCATTATTTGGAATGTGTCATTAAAAAAACCTCATTTAAATTTTTATAAAGTGTGCCGAGTATCATTAATTTAAATGGGAGAGAAATTGGGCGGCTTTGAACATTTTTTTAAATTTTTTTTATAAATCAAAATTTTATCCATTGTAGCCACTTAACAATTTACTTAACTTAAATATTTTTTTTCCTAATAGTCAAAACAATGATGAAGAAATGTAATTGCATTGTAGATGTAGTTGTAATAGTAAAATAAAAATTTAAATAATGTTTATAAAAACATTTATAAATTCAACAGTTGTTGTTTTACAAATATGCTGTGATAAAAATTAAGATAACTTAAGTAAACTTAATTCAATATAAATTAAAGATTTTTTGTGTTAGCTTGCTTTTGAAAGTTTTCTCTTTTTCTTTTATTGTTTTTTTGGACTTTTCAAGTTTGTCAGTGAGAATCTTAGATTTGTCACTTTTTTTTGCCTTTAAATATTTTTTTGCATGGTAGAGCTTTGGGAAATAGTCAGACGGATTCAGGTGTAACAGTGTGGTTTATTAATAAAAAAATGAAAATAATTTTTTTCGTTTTGGCTATCAACCATATTATTTAGTTTTTTAACAACTATGCCATCAGATGCGCTAAAAACCTAATAACAACTTTATAAATATCCTCATAAGTAAACGAGTAAAAGCTAAAAGATCATACTGCCCCGGCGATCAATGCGCCCCTATCTCCCCTACAATGTTATCAGGAAACTAAGCTTTGTGTTTAGTAACCAAATTTCATTGAAGAAGATAATATCATATGTGGCTGACAACAGTAATAATTTGTGTGTAAAACTTTGTTCATAGTGACAAATATAACAGCAAACTGTAACTGTCCTATCTCATAAAAACATTTCACATACGTATTTTCTGGCCATTTTCAACTTTTGCAGAGCCTAACAACATCCCTAGCACAGACATATGCTTTAAAGAAAGAGTTATATTTACTTTTAAGGAAATAGCTTTAGTTTTAAATGTTGTGTTAACATATTCAAAATAAGATGTAACTTTAGAGCAATAATAAAGTTAAAGTATTTTTAACAAACAAAATTTATTTGTAATTTTTCCAAAGCCATTAGGAACTTTTTGCTTTTGCTTTTCTTCAGATGAGTGACAATATGGAAATCAATACTGGGTGAGAGTTTTCAGTAGATAAAGAGTTTATTTTTACCAGATTAGTAAAAATCATCATCATAGTCATTAGAGTGATGAGGAAACTTTTAACAAAAAAGTAAATATCTGTAATAGATTTATGTGATACTGAATTAAGCTAATTTTTTTTAGTTAAAGTATTTGTAGAATTAACTTGATTTTAAGGGTAAGGATAAGATAGAATTTATTTAACATTAGCTGTTGGAAAGAATTGCCTTTCATTTGCAGGATGCTGGATCTACTTGTCATAAATTGGAAGTTAGGTTTTTTTATATTTTTTGTTAATAGGTGTAAAAAGTGTTTCAAAACCCATAAATAATTTATGCCTTTTTTTATTAAATAACATTATAAATTGATTTAAAAAAGATTTTAGCTTAACAGCCATGTTATTAACCAACTCAGTCAGATGCAAAACGTGGGTATAACATTCAAAAGTAAGAGACCTAGTGAAATTTATTTTGATATTTTTATTTCTTAGAATACCTGTAAAACAAATATTAGAAATGTCAGCCTGCATGCGGTGTATCTGCTGCAATATAGTTGTGACATCCATGTAATCAGTGTCCAAAAGGTGAGGCGTGACAAGTTTTTGGCATGGAATTTAGAACATTTTATATTAACTTAGAAGAGAGAATTAATGTGAAGCATCTTTCTACATACACCTTAAACATCTTTAATTTTTTCTTATCTAAACCTTAATGTTTCGACAGACGCTTGAATTCAGTAATTTTTTAAACAAGATCTATCAAGATCGAAGGGTTAAAAGGGCTATATGAATTTTTTCTCATTAAAGAAGCAATAAAAATCTTAAACATTTCCTCATAATGTAAAACATTAAATTTCTTAAAAATATAACGCAAAAGCACATTATCAACCTAAAATCCTTGCATAACAATGTGTTAGAAAGACCATAACAAACTTTAAAATGTGCATTATTTTTTCGTTTACCGCATTGAGCATGTTTCTTAACCGTAATAATTGAATGCACAGAGCAAAATGATTATAGTTAAAAATAAAATACTTTATTGTACTTATTTTTACAATTGAGTTGTAATTATCTGTTGTACTTGCTCGCCAGTCACATTGATATTTTTATAATGTTAAAATTATATTAAAAAATATTTACACGAAATATATAAATTTAAACAATGAAATAATAAAGTGATAATTAAAAAAATCTCATAGTTGGTCGTAACGCCTGTAGCATGCTAAATGTAAATGTAATATATAAAAATATAATTAAAGAAATACAAAAATTTCCCATTTAGTTAAATTAAGTCTTTAACAAACGTTACGGTGACTTCCCACCAGCAAGTGAGAGTTGAGATAAAACAGAATATGTAAAGAACATTAACATGTTTTATTCCCAAGACTTTGGTTCACATTTGTATTTTTTTTATTGCGTTTGCCAAGGTCAAAATTTACAAAACCAAAATTGACCATACCAAAGTTTATTTAAGAAACAATTAGAATTGAAAAAGTACTTTTTTTGAATTATGGCAAAACCATAAATGTAAAACTTTTTTTTTTCACTAAATTTTTTTTGGGAAACAAAGTTTTAAAACATTTTAATTGTTTAATACCAAATTAGTTATGCTGCAACTAATCTAAAACGTTTAAAAATATTTATAAAGCTATAAATAAGCTAATATAAGTTGTAAAAGCAAATAATTTACAGTCATTTCATTGTTCAGCTTTTAATCTCTAAGTCATGTAAAACATGTTAAAATAAAAGTCACAAATTTTTGTGCAAAACCATTGTTATCCATTCTTTGTGTAAACTTATTTAAATGTTTTATAAGTCAACAGTTGAGTTGAGTTGATATTTTGTGGAATTATTGGTGTAATAATGTATTTTTTGATTAACTTATTTTAATTTTACATAACTTTATAACTTTTTACTGAAACTCTACACATATATATATTAGGAAAAATAATAGCATTCAACAAAAATGTATTTTAATATTGTATCTAATTTATTATATTATAGGGTTAATTTGAAGAAAATTTTTGTTTCAATTGTTATTAAAATGAATAAGATTGACTCTTTGCTTCAACGGTGAAATAAAAGAAATATGAGATTGTAACTAATTTTGAAAATTAAATACTGACTGAGCATATGAATAATTAAAATTAACATTTATTATTTACAACTAAGTTCTGGTGTAAAACTTAGTTGTTGTTTTTGTAGAAAATTTTTTTCTTATTCCTAAAATCAGATTCAATTTTAGTTTACAGTGGAAATGCTTTGTGCTGAAGAAAGCATCTTACAAAACGATTAATAATAAGTTATTAAGTAAAAAATTGATTTCTCAACCTGAAAAATAGTCTCAGAGGATACCTTGTCTTGCACAAGCCACCTATTCAGATATAATAGCAATCTATTTTAAGGTAGGAGAGAAAAAATAAGTAAAGTACTTCAAAATTGTTAACTGTTTATTTACCTAACTATTAACCTTAAAAAAATTAAAAAATTTATATAAACTTTAGTTTATTACTATGTACTATGTAACTATGTATTGTACAAAAAAAAATTACCCACCAGACAGCAAGGATATAATAGTACCAGCAAGGATATAACTGGACCGGCTACTGCTCCGATGTTAGTAAAGCTCCGTTTTGCTCTTGTAATTTGTTTAAATATTATTTAAAAAACATAAGTTTCAAAAAATAAAACATT